ATCTTAACATCAGATGAGTTACACTTGCGTTGCCGATCTTTTTTTACTTTACGAGGAAAACTTATTACGTCTCTACACATAACAATTGAATAAAAATTTTAAGGAACTAATCGTAACAGTTATGAATACTATTTGCTGAAGAAAATGAAATACATAATTAAATCATTTATAAACACGCTATTGAAGTGTATATTATGTACCTACATAATATATGTATATGCATATGTATGTATGTGTGTAATTAACTTATTACATCAAATCGTTACTTAAGGAACTTTCTTTGCTAATGTAGTCATGCTTCGGCGCGAATGGGTCGGCTCGACTGGAGTGATACCACGGCCTTGCAGAATACTAGCGTAAAACGACTATAGCGTTGTGTTTCGCCGTGTGAGTGAGGTTACCGGAGGCCCAATGCTTCCCCACCCCGTCATCCTTAACCCTTAAATCTTACTAACTTATTGTAAGTTACATATATGTTTCTTTACAGTATAAGATGTTTACGTATTTATAGATAAGTACCTAACAAAGTAAATTTTGTAATGTAATTTATTTAATTTCATAATATAATTTAATTTTATTAAGTTGTAATTTGCTGCGTCCGACAGGGCACATACCCCACCACACATGGGTGTGGGGGGGTTTTAAACAAATTAAACTAAGTAACAATATGAATATCATTATATTCAGATTAATAAAGGGGTTTTCATTCTCAAAGTCAAGTCAAAATCATTTATTTTAATAAGACCCTTATCTAAAAGCACTTTTGAACGTCAAACAAAATTTTGAAGATATATAATGTCAGTCTGTCGGTCATTCCTTTTAGTTAAGCTGTTTTCTCGTTCCAAAGTATAGATTCCGATACAATAAAAAAAGGCATCAAAATTCGTTGCGTAGTTTTTAAAGATTTAAGCAGTACCTATACCTACACCGCAAGTCTGCGGACTGTGAGTAAGGGTAGCTCGCCGCCGGACCAGAACCAGACCCGAGCGTACGGCGCGTAAAGCCAATAGTCGACCCCAGACCCCTATGGGGCTGACGTTCAGCCGGGGTTGCGGGGTAAGCGCAATGAGGCACCGCGGCCTCGGCCCAGAGCAGGGGAAGGAACGGGGTGTGTTTAGTCAGTAAGAGTCTGACACTCCCTCCTACCCAACCCTGGGCGGGCGAAGTCTTTTGATGATTTTCCCCTCACCAAAACAAGCACACCTACATAGGAATATACGGAAAGAGAAAGAGACTTTGTTTTATACTATGTAGGTAGTGATATTAGAATTACAAAAAAAATACGCTACCAACTTCACCTTCAAGGAATAAAAGCTACAATACCATACGTTATGCAATTAAAAAACATGAAAAAAAGAAACAAAACGACAATTAATGACTTTAAATGCTGTGAATTATTGTAAATACATACGTACTTCACTTTGCATGTGTTTTTCGCATGACAATACATAGTTACTGTGTTTTGAACCGAATAGCGTGTGTTGACAACACGCATATTTAAAAATAATACTTTAAGTTGATACGTATAATCATATTGCATTTTTTATTTCGTAAAAACAGGTTGAGGTTGAAATACTATTTTTAAAAATGGAGTTAGCGACAGTGTTTTCATAATTTTCAAATGGTTTTTATCGCTACCAAAACCACGTTTCTTCTTATGCTGAACCCGGCTGAACATCAGCCCTATAAAGCCCCGTCTGTGGTGGTCGATTGGCTCTTTGAGGCGCGCGCGGAACGCTACGCGCCGTACGCTCGGGTCTGGTTCTGGTCGGGCGGCGACTTACCCTTACTCGCCGTCCGCAGACTCGCTACATATTCATACATACATTGCAAGTTAAATAATCTCGTTTACAACCACAACCTCGGCTGATTTCGGCTCGGGCCGGGCCCTATCTGTGATGATCGTATGAACTTCAGTTTTCAAGTCAGTTTCAAAGAGGAGGGAGAAAATATAGAAAAAAGTCCGAATAAAAAACAAAAAAAAAACAATAGTTATCATTCTCATAACGTGATCTGTAAATGACATTTAATATTTAACAGCGATTAATACTCTCAATAGTAATTTTCAAGTATCATGGAGCCTACTAGGTCATCTATTAGACCACCACAGACGGGACCTCATACGGCCGATGTTCAGCCAGGGTTGCGGGGCCTAGCGCAATTAGGTACCTCGGCCTCGGCCTAGAGCAGGAGCAGGAACGGGGGGGTTTTTAGTCAGTAATAGTCTGACACTCCCTCTCACCTCACTCTAGGCGAGAGGAATCATTTGATGAAATTCCCCTCACAAAGAGCTAGAATAATATACAAAAGAACTAGGCACTAAACAGACAGGTCTCAACACTAGCATAAAAAAATAAGTTACATAATTTAACTTTCCAAAATCTTTAGACATTAGCGGACATCCTTTCATAATATGTATGAATTGTATGACATCGGATGAGTTTCACTCGCATTGTAATTGTATGGGATTTTAATGGGAATATTTTTATTTCATACTAGCTACTCTCGCGCGGTTTCACCCGCTGCTCGGCTCTATATAATCGTAGCGTGATGTTTTATAGCCTAGAGCACTCAGGAACATTGTAGCTATCTATGAGTGAAAGAATTTTGGCAAACCGACCAGCGGTTCCAAAGATTACCCCCTACATACAAACTTACAAATTTTACCTCTTTAAATTATTAGTATAGACATAGTTATATGTATTTTTTTTCGTAATTGGCAGGCATTTGAATGCTAACACGATTGGTGGAATGATGATGCAACCTATTCACTCGGACCTTAAAGACACCCAGGTCATCCTTTAGGAAACTCAGAATCCGGCGAAGAAGGAAAAAGAAAGCGGTCCTGATTATAAAATTGGAGGCGAACCGCGGGAACCCGGGAGATGAGTGAAATAAGATAACTAATATTTATACAAATATTTTTTATATCATACAGTAATATAATATCAAGGAACGGAATGGAAGAGGAACAAATCATTATTTTCTTACTTTTTAAAAATAATGTATTATAATGTACGATAGTGAAAATGAACGTTGGCACACATAGAGAAGACACTAATTATTTAGACTTAGACTAGAGCGTTTTTTAGGACTTAACGTTTGTACTACTAAAGATTTGTACTTAAATAATTAATGATTTTAAACATCATACAATGGATTTTGGATGTCTTCGCAATAGGATGGAAAATAATCAGCTTAAGCCGCTACCAGAAGCTAGTAATATAAATTAATAAGATTTCGTAAGCGCAAATCCTTTATTTATTTATTCGTTTATGTATTCGTGTGTGTTCAACATTCGTGTGGTGAACAACTGTCCAACATAAGTAACTAGAGCATATGCCAGGTCCATCTAATTTTATTTTAATAACAGCTTTTGCCCGCGACTTCTTTCGCATGGGATAGTGTCGTCCTGCAGATTTTTGGTTTTCCCCACATAGTTTCTGCTCTTAAAAATTATCCCTACCCTTAGGTCTCTCGAGTTCCAAACTATGTCTATACCAAATTTAACCCAAATAGGTCCAGTAGTTTAGGCGTGAAAAAAAGCCAAACAGACAGAGAGACACAGTTACTTTCGCATTTATAATATTAGTTTAGATTATAATGTTAACGTGTATTAAACATCCTTTTTGTAAAAAAAATATTCTTCTTTTGAATTTTCTTCTTGAAATTCTGCGACAAGATAATTCAGGCGGAATACACAACACAGTATGTTATGGACATTCAATGGAACATAAACAGTAATGTCAGTACTAGTGACTCAATTTAACTTGTCTTTCCTCATAGGAATCGGTTAGTACAAACTAGGAGCTTTGGAAAACGCACCTAATATCTTAGTTTTGTTAATAAAAACGACTTGAATACTATGTAGTGAAAATAAACAATATCTTATCGATTTGCTTGTTTTTTTTGCTGTACGAAAATGCAATTTTATCTAATAAGTTTCTATAAGTATAGTCATCGTGGTAGCCTCGAGGTTAAGAAGCGGGCCTTCTCATTAATGAGAGTGCGGGTTCGAAACATGGCAAGTACCAATGTGACCTTTTCCGAGTTATATATACTTTCTTTTGACATAAGGTGAAGAAAAACATGGTGACTTATAATTCCTAATTATAAGTTTAAAATCGCCAATCTGCCTTGAGCAAGCGTGGTGATTGATATTCAAACCTTCACTGTGTGAGAAGAGGCCTTTGCTCAGCAGTGTACTCTTATAAGCTGATGATGTAATATGTGTATCCATAATAATTTAATTGATGAAGTTGCATAAATAGAAAATTAATGCACGTCACGTAATTAATTTTATTACTTAGGTATTATTCTTTAAAAAGATTAAAAATAAAATCTATAATAGCTCAATCTCCCAAAGCAGTGTTTTTATGAATTCAATTGAGTTTGTTTATTAGGTTGTATATATATAAAATAAATACCCACTAAAAAGATATACTTGTATTTGCAACAAAAAAACATAAAAAAATCGTTGTATAAAAATGATTACTATAACTTCTCGGATCCTTCTCAAGCGTTTGCTAAAATCAAAACGACACCGAGGAATTCCGTTGGAGTAAAAAAAATGTTGAAAGATTATCAACTAATCTTAGGTAATATCTTAGCAACATGTTTTACGTAAATTATTGTCTATCATACTTTTCAATCTCAATGCGTACGTGACATATAAATTACACATATGATTGAAATATTTTAGATACATAATCAATTAATTCATAAAGTGACAAAGTCCGTAGAATATGGTAATAACGATACATGTAAGAACACTTTCGTTTTCACAACAACACATATGAAACAACAAATGAAAACGTTCGTCAAAATTTTAAAAGATTTCTCTTAAGCTTTTGACAGAGTTAATCACAAAAATAATTCTACATGCATTGATTAAAAACATGGAAATAAAAAAAACATCCAAAACCATTCATTCCCTATCGATGTCGTTGTTATTTCTGCCACATATATTTAGTATAAAAAACCTTATATAGCCGACTCACCTCGTTCAGCAAATCCATCTCCCGAACCAGTCCCAAGGTCTTGCAACGCCTGTTCATCACCGACGTCATTCAAACCGAAATTTTGATCACGAAACACAACATTATCATTAAATCCACCAGGCCCCGCGTGGGAATTCGTCTGCACTGAGTTTACACTTTCTGACGCGTATGGAAACACCACTCGAGGACTTCTCGGCTTCCAACCGGGGTAGTAGCCATTCCGAACCGACGGAGCGAAAGGAGCGACAGGATACGGGTCAAAACCAAAATTTGGAGCGTAAGTCCGACCAAAACGGCCCTGGTAGTAATGTGGATGATTCGAAAACGGCCGAAACCGCGGCAACGGCTCATAAAACCGCTCATTACCGGACGGCAAATCCTCATTCAACTTTTTTGGCACTTCTGCATCTTCAGGAGATGTGAACTCGTAATCTGGTTGATCGTCAAATTTGATTTGTGAGTAACTTTTGTCTTGTGTCAAATCAATTTCACCCTTTCCGAATGGTTGATGGTTTTCATCTTCGTCGAGGAACAGTACTCTGGATTGTCTCGCTCTGGTCCTCCGATACAGGTTCTTCGGCACAAACATGACGTTTTTATAAGGTTTCTGGTAGACTAGGCTGAGCGCCCGGCTCGGCTCGACAGCGCCAACGGACGCCACCAGTAACAGAATAACTTTCCATCTATTTTCGCTAAACATGTTGCATCGGTCAGTGCACTGCGATTTTCACTTTCATTTCTTTTGTTACGAAGGGTGAATTTTGTTTGATTGTTTTTGTTGGGGTTTTAGTACATGATTTGTGCGCGTGTTGTTTTTTTTTTAAATTTGTTGTTTTGAGTCGAGTTTCATTTCTATCGTGCGCGGGGCGTGTGGCGCGGGCGGTTGCTAGCACGGGACTGGCTCGGCGGAGCCGCGGTCGTAGCGTGCGCCATTGGTTATATAAAAATGCATGCTTGTGACGTTTCGTTTATGTAATGTCAGTGATTAGTGATAGTACGTTGCTTGGTAACTCTGTTTTGGATACCTGAAAGTGCTACTTTCAGATTTGGTGGTATTGTTAAGTTTTAAGGCTCGTTTTTAATATTTTCGTAAAAGAAACGCTTTATGAAGCTTGGTACCATTTTCGCCAGTCATGTTATAGGTCTTATTTAATGAGGTCACAGATGTAACAGCTGTGCTCGATATCCGGGATTCCTGTTGGTTATTTTTTTTAGTGTGTTATGGAGTAACGTTCCAATTTTACTTTCGAGTTTTGAACTTACTCTAAACTAAAATGAATTTGCCCAGAATTTCAGAGCGTGTTTTCGATTAAATTTTCCAAGTTTCCAGCTGCAATTTAAATGCCATTATATATCCTAACATTTTCTAGTCATCTTTTCTAATTTTGTAAAAGGAGCTAGTAATATTATGAGAACATTTAAGGTGTATAATTTCTTGCTAAAGTGTACAAATAAATAAACACTCTCAATCAGTCCTAAAACTTTGGGTCGATCTTGATGAAACACTCAGTACACAGGTAAAGTTAAAATCGACATTGATCAAAAATTTTTCACGAATATCAGTTAATTAAGAAATTCATTTTGCCGAACCTTAATCACTAAAATCAAATCAACGCAATCCTAACTCCTTAGATGTGGCGCCATTTCATTAGCAGCGCCTGTTGCTTACCATCAGGTAATCAGACCATTCTTTTGCCATCCTATCAATAAAAGAATTTTTTTTTATTGATTTCTTATCTACCTTAGCAAATTGAACCTTATTACCTTAGCGATTCATCCAATCACAATGTCCTTTCTCTATCATACCATTGCCTAAACAGTCTATCTCTATATTTTCTTTCATTTCCCTTTCCATCCTTATTAAGAGCTATAATGTAACATATATTATGTTATGTTAAGAGCCTTCTTTTACAACATAATATAACTATATCTGTGGGATATGTTTCTCAGCTTTCTATTTTGTTTTATTCAACGCTTCGATGATGTCATCCGTGTTAAACTGTTCCGACTTGGAGTCATTATGTAAATTTGACAAAATCGGAACTCTAAGTGGCTTTTGTAATATATTTTTATTATATTTAAGTTATATTTTTTTGTGATATCTATTGGTTCAATAGTTTGGGGTGTCTTGATTATTATAATTATTTTTCTCATCGTGAGATACCTAATTTGGTGCCCATGGATACCCTCAACACCAGAGGACATACAAATGCGTTGACAGCCTTTTGAGGATTAGAATATCGGAGATTTTGGGATTGGGGAGGGATAAGGGGAGGGCAAGGATTGGTCATCTGGGAATCTCACTCTAATAAAATTGTTGTTATTAAAACGTATGTATTATTTTTTTATTTTAGCGAAACAATTTTCTGCTTCATACAGCTGAACTGCATAATGATCCCCTGTGCTATCCCTTAACTTTGAAACCTCCTAATGAGATTTTAGTTCTCATTTAAGAGACTGGGACTCTACTTATGACTGCTTTACTGTTGCGGATCTTTATGACCAGAGCTGGTCGCTCACCACCAGGAGATCCAGTTGCTCGTTTGCCCCCAATTCCATAACAAATAGGAATAGAGTGGTTTTTTTCTATAACAGGTATTTCACTTTAGCTCATATATTTCTAGTGTCCAGAGGCGCCGTTGATTGCTTTTTTTATGTAATAGGTCGACAAACGAGCAGACGGATTACCTGATGGTAAGCAATCAGCGCCGCCCATGGACACCCGCAACGGAGGAGTTACGAGTGCGTTGCCGACCTTTAAGGGATTAGGGATTTGGAGATTTGGGTATTGAGGAAGGATTGGGGGAGGGGAAGGATTGGGCCTCCGGTAACCTCACTCACACGGCGAACACAACGCTGTGGTTGTTTCACGCCGGTTTGCTGTGAGGCCGTGGTATCACTCCGGTCGAGCCGACCCATTCGTGCCGAAGCATGGCTCCCCCACACTTACCATCAGGTCCACCAGCAAAAACAAACTACAACTACCCAGAAAACGTTACACCATTATCTATGAGTGGGACGGTTAAAACCTTTTTAAAAGTTAATCACGGCAGTGAAAATTTAACTGGTTAACAGTTAAACTGTGGGAAAGGTTCAAAGAAGCAGTTAACAGTAACATCATGACGAATCAATGTAACGCCAGTTATTTACAATCTCACTTTGGTAAGTGCTATTTAGTTGTAGCGGCCCGCATCGTTGTGGTGGTCCGGAGCTTAAGGCGCCCGCTTCTCATGCATGATGGTGTGGGTCCGAAACCTAGCTAGAGCCAGTGTAATGTGACTTTATCCGAGTTACATGTACTTTCTATGATTATTTAATATTTAGACACCACTGACTATGAAGGGAAGCATCGTGAGGAATCCTGGACTTATAATTAACTAGATTTCCGCCAGTGGCTTCTCCCGCGTGGTATGTTGATAAAAACTAGCCTATGTCCTATTCCGCAGTTTATCCTATGCCTGTGCCAAATTTCATCCAGACCCGGCCGGCCATTTTGGCGTAACAAACATCCAAACATCGTAACTTTCGCATTTATAATATTAAGTAAGTGTAGTAAGATTTCTATTATAAGTTTGAAATCGCCAATCCACCTTGAACAAGCGTGGTGAATAATGCTCAAACCTTCTTCGTGTGAGTAGAGGCTTTTTCTCAGCAGTGGGCATTTAGAAACTGGTGATGTGATGTGCTTGCGCTTCTCTTTCGGTTGTCCAACTGCCTCGATGTTAATCATTTGTTTTGCCTATCGAATCATCACGCCATCGAAAGACTTGCTACTATAGTTACTACTACCTTGATACTATAGGTTAGCAAATGAGCAGACGGATTATCTGATGGTAAGCAATCGACGCCAGCCATGGACACCCGCAACAACAGAAGAGTTACGAGTGCGTTGCCTACCTTTTGGGCATTAGGAATTTGGAGATTTTAGGATTGGAGGTGGGGAAAGATTGGGCCTACGGTAACCTCACTCACACGGCGAAACACAACGCTGTGGTTGTTTCACGCCAGTTTTCTGTGAGGCCGTGGTATCGCTCTGGTCGAGCTGATCCATTCGTGCTGAAGCATGGATCTCCCACACTCAGGCTAGTTTTAATTGTGATACTGCGAACAAAGCCCCCGTGGCTTCATACGTAGTGGCGATGGGCAAAAAAGTATAATTTAAAAGTAACTTCTTTTCTTGCGTTTACGATTGCTTTTATTACATTTTTGGGATTAAAATTTAATTTATTATTGGTAATTAATGTTACTTTATAAAACCCTTTATTTATTATTTGGTATTTCATTTCTTATGAATTTTAATTTAATGTTATTACGCTCATTTTATTTGTGTTATGTCGTTAATGTAACCTCTTTATTGACGCGTAAATTATTATGTAGGTACAGTTAAAGCAAAAATAAATATTTTTGAGGAATTTAAAATGTTGGTTTTTGTTTTTCGAAGGATAGGCCAATTATATCTTGAATTACATACATGGTAAACTAGCTTTTGCCCGCTTTTCTGTTCTCGTGGAATAATGACTTCCTGCAGATTTTTTGTATAAAAACTATCCTATGTCGTTTCTCGATTTTCAAACTATGTCTATACCAAATTTCACAGAAATCGGTTCAGTACTTAGTTTAGGCGTGAAGAAAAGACAGAGAGACAAACAGGCAGACAGTGTTACTTTTTCATTTATAATATTAGCTTGGATTTGGATTGCTACTGTGTTACTTAAAATAACATTATTGTATATACGCTTCCAAACTAATTCAATTTAACAAGAAACCAAAAGCACTAACTGCTTGACATAATATAGCCCTTATTATATATAATACTATACATAAATAAACGTACAAATAACTAATTCTTATACCCATATTTGAATAGATTATTATGTACACATATGTAGCAATGGACAGATGGTTTGACTCTAGTTTTCACTCCCAAAATATACACACAATAGGCAATGCCTTCACAAAGAAATCAACACAACACAAGTAGAATTTCGCGCACAATTCGAGTTCATAAGAGCGAGAATGTAGTACAGTCAGCGTAAAAAATGGTTGTCGAGACGTATTTTTAATTTTATATAGTAACTAGCTAAGTATTATCACTAGCTGCTCGGCTGCTTTTGATCGTACCGTGATATTTTATACCTTTTAGCACTGAGAAACATTGTAGCTATTTATGAGGGAAAGTATTTTAGCAAACCGACAAGCGGTTCCAAAGATTACCCCTACTATACTATATATACCATAATATTTTGTATAGCTATTGTTACTTGTAGAAATAGATAGTTTTACAATATTTGCAAATTTATAGTCAAATTAATATCCATTCAAATTCAATATCATATTTTAAAATTTCAATTATTTTGGTATTTTTTGTGTGTTAGGGCAATAAACTAGCAAACGGATTACTTGATGTAATGTAAGTAGCAAATGATTTCTCAACTTAACTGTACATCTTTAATGTTTACGAAACAGCTATAATAGAGGTGAATAGGAAAGCATAGGTTATGGCTCATAGCACAGCCTTATGGGTGGCTGACCCCATACATAGATGTTACACAATAGATATACATATATGTGCACTATGTAATGCCGTCATATCATACAATATACTATAAATAAGAAGTCATTTGGGACCATGTTTAGTAGTGAATATCGTACAGTTGATATAATAATATTAAATAATCTTTATAGAGTCGTTGTGGCCGC